ATCAGTAAAGATATAAAAGACTTGAACAGTAGTACTATCAACCTGCTTGGCCTAATTGATATCTATAGAACACTTCACTCAACAATAAGTGTTGTCTGATATGTGCTATTTAAGTATACATGGAACATTTACTGGATTAGACCATTTGCTGGGTTATAAGGCAAGTCTTAATAAGTTGCAAAGGATTGAAATCATACAGAGTATGTTTTCTAATCATAGTTAAATCAGAAATCAGTAAATAACCAAAAGAAATATGAGAAATCTCCAAATACATTAAAATTAAGCAACCCATTTCTAGATAACTGATAGAGCAAAGAAGAAATCACAAGAAAAATTAGAAAATGTCTTGTACTAAGTGACAATGAAAACACAAAACATTTGGGATGCCACTAAAGCAATAATGTGCACATTGTAATCTGCAGAGGGAAATTTATAGTTTTAAAGTCTAAATTAAAAACGAAAGTTTTATAATTATTGTTCTAAGCTTTTACTTCAAGAACTCAGAAAAAAAGCAAATTAAACCCAAAGTAAGTAGAAGGAAGACAATAAGTATCAGAGCAGAAATCAATGAACTAGAAAAAGGACGAACAACACAAAAAAGCAATGAAAGGAAAAGTGATTCTCTGAAAAGATTGATAAAATTGATAAAACTTCAGCTGGCCTGATTTTAAAAAGAGAGAGAACACAATTTATCAAGATCAGGAATGAAAGGGACATCGGTACATACCCCATAGACACCGAAAGATAATAAAGGCAGTATTATGAACAACTTTCTGCCAATGAATGTTGACAACTTAAATGGGCAAATTCTTTGAAAGACACAAATTAGCAAAAGTGTCCAGAAGAAATAGAAAATCTAAATAGATCTGTATCAAGTAAAGAAATTGAATTAGTAATTTACAACTTCTGACAATGAAAAAGTTCCAGGCCACACAACTTCTCCCTGGTGAATTCTATCCCACATTTAAGACAGAAATAATATGAATTTTTTAGAGCATCTTTTAGAAACTAGTGGGGGAAGGAACACTTACCAACTCATTTATGAGCTCAGCTTTACTCTGCTATCAAAGCTAGACAAGGACATCACAAGGAAACTACAGATCAATATCCCTCATAAGCACAGAAGCAAAAATCCTTAACAAAGTATTAGCAAATTGAATCCAGCAGTATGTATATATGTGTATAAAGATTAGTAAACCTTAACCAAGGAAATTTATTCCAGGAATACAAAGTTGATCTGAACATCAATATAATATACCATGTCAGCAGAATAATGAACAAAACCTTAAGATCATCATAGTAAATATAGGGAAAGCATTTGATAAAATCTAATGCCCATTCATGATAAGAACTCTCAGAATACCAGGAATAGAAGTGAACTTTCTCAAGTTGACAAAGCACGTCTATGAAAAATCAAGAGCTAATCTTCTTAATGGTGAGACCATTAAGAGTGATTGCTTTCTAACTAAGATCAGGAACAAGACAAAGATCTCTGGTCTCACCCCTTATGTTCAACATTGTACCAAGTCAGGGAAATAAAGTGCAGACATATTAGAAAGGAAGAAGTAAAAACAGCCTTTATTCCTAGAGGATACAATTCTAAGATATTCTAAATGAATTCTAAAAAGTGAATTTAGTAGGGTTACATGGTACAAGATCAACACATAAAACAACTGTGAATTTTTATGTACTGGCAATAGACAACCAAAATGAAATTTATAAAACAGCTCCATTCACAAGAATAAAACAAAACAAATGAAATACTTATGAATAAATTTAACAAAAGATGTACAAGACCTATTCAGAGAAAAGTACTAAATGTTGCTGAAAGTTTAAGAAATACCTAAATAAATAAAGATATATACCATGGCTATGGATTTGAAGTATAATATTGTTAAGATGGAATTATTCCAACATCTTTCTATAGATTTAATGCAATCCTAATTAAACTCCCAGAAAAGTTAAGAAATTTTTTTAAAGAAATCGACAAGCTCATTCTAATATTTAAATGGAAAGACAAAGGACCTGGGATAGAAAAATGATTTTAAAAAGGAAGAACAAAGTTCTTCCAACAAAGTTGCATTGTCTGATTGATGACTTTACTGTAGAACTATAGTAATCAAGACAGTGTGGTAGGGCACAAGGATAAATGTATATAGATCAAACATTGAGAGTTGAGAAATGGACCCAAACCTCATGGTCAACTGGATTTCGATAAAGATACCAAGGTTATATGGAGAAAGAACGGTTTTTTTAATAAATGCTGCTGAAATAACTAGATATCCTTTTCTCACATCAAACACAAAAATTAATTCAAAATGGGTCATAGACCTAATTGTAAAGGCTAAAGAGAAAGTCTTTATGACCTTGGGTTAGGTAAATGTTTCTTAGGATACAAAAAGCGTGAAAAAGTTGCTAAATTAGATTTTATCAAAAATTTTGTTCACGAGAAGACACCATTAAAAAAAATAGCAAATAAGCCATAGATTGTGGAAGAATACTTGGCACACATATATCTAACAAAGGTAACTGAAACCATGACAAGCTAAACATGTAAGGGGGAAATACTGTATTAGCATCTTACTGTTTATTGTTATACTATCTGTCATACTGTTTAGTACTCAATTACATCAAAACGTTACTCTAAAAAACTTTTTCTAAAAAAGTATTTTTCAGTAGTTTTTCCCTTTGCATGTCCCTTTTCTCCCAATTAGATTGTAAGCTCCTTGTAGATAATTACTTTTATTTACAGCCAAAGTGCTCCTGAGCCATACTGAACAGGTTTGATGATCCTTAGAAGTAATAAATGCTGAGAGTATAGTGCGCTTTCTTTATAATGAGATTTTCATGTTGACTTATCATGAAAAGAATTGCTTGAGACACACTGGGAGTGATGGTTCTTTACTGGCACATTCCTTATTGTGTTTCTTACCCTTCAAATAATTTACATTATCTATGTACAAATTTGAAAATGTTTCAAGTTAAGTTATAGTAGTGTGAAATATTAAAGTATGTATTTTTATGTATTAAATTTGAGTTAAAATGTTAATGAACGAACATTAGGAAGTTTCCCAGGTCCTTTGTCTTTCCATTTAAATGTTAGAACTTCCTAATGTTTGGAGTCTTCTGCGTTATCCTTTGAAAATTCTTAGTTTTTACCCTGATTCCATTTTTCTCTTTTCTGTATTCAGTGCATCCTTTTTTTCTACCCTAATTGAGGGCAAAGTGACATTAGTATCCAAAAAATTAAGTGTTAATTCTTAACTCTTTTTTCATGCTAGCTTCTGTAACTATTTGTGCAGTAATGAGCTATATTATTCACTGTGATATTATTTCTACTGCTAAATATTGCTACTTTTCTAGTTCCTTCCCTTTATGGTAAGTCAGGTCAGGTGAATTTCACACAAAGGTAGGTAAAATGATCTTAAAATATTTCAAGACTCCCTGTTAGCTATTATTTTATAGATTTTATTTTAATTTGTCGTCAGGTTTCTAAAGTATAAGCAGCATCATTGCTTATACTTAGTTATTTGTTATTGTGCAATAATATTACCACTAATTTAGTGGTTTAAAACAATATACATTTACTATCTCAGCTTCTGTATGTCAGGAATGTGTATACGGCTATGCTGGGTTTTCTGCTTCAGGGTCTCATAAAGCTCCAATCAAGGTGTTGGGTAGGGTTGTGATCTCATCTGAGACTTAAGTGGGGAAGAAATGATTTGCTTCCAGATTCATGTGGCTTTTTGGCAGAATTCAGTTCCTCGCAGGCTGCATTGAGGGCTGTAGTTTCTTGCCTTGCGGCCCTCTTCATATGTACTTCGTAATGTTGCAGCTTGTTTCTTCAGAGCCAGTTGGAAGAGTTTCCTCCTAGATGGGCATTGCAATTTTTTGTAATGTAATCATGTACACATAATCATCCTGTTTCTATATAGCGCATGTTGCAGGTCCTATCCACATTCAAAGGGAGGGGATCACACAAGGGTATGAACATCAGGAAATGGGGCCACTCTAAGGTCTCTCTGTCACAACTTATTTGCTGTATCTTAACATTAGATGAATGCTTTTCTTTTTTTTTTTTTTAAGTTATGCCACCAATTTGTAACTTTTATGAAAATAACTTTCATCTATAAAAACAAGGTAATTTATAACTTGATCTTAAGTTTTGATAGCAGTTGAATATTTACATTAAAATTTGCAAAATTTCAACTAAAGAACACATAAAACTTTCAGACATAGCTTATACTTTAAAAATTCTATCAATTTCATCAAATAAAGAGTGACTACAGGTCATTTTACATTCGTCTTCTGGTCCAGAATACACATTCCATTTAAAATATTTTAAATCACTCTTCCGTACAGCATGGATGGCTCCTCGTAGGAACTAGTAAATAGTCTGTTCTTCATGAAGACAACACTAGACAGATATTGCCTGATGCCTGGATAATACTGAACATCACAAAACCAGCAAGGTACATTAAGATATTTCTCTTTTTCTTGAACTTTCAGGTCAGCTATAAAGCGATGAAGTCCATAGTATAATAGGATATCTGCTAAGGTAAATTTATATTCTGTAAAGCAGACTTTATCTTCAAGATGTGAATTAAGATCCTTCAACAGAATGCGGATATCATCTTTATTAGAGTGTCCATCTACTTGAGTTACTCTGTATTCTAACCATTGTTGAACTATTGCTTTTTCTTCTCTAGTGCTCCCGAGCAAATATTCTTTATTGGCTTGCTTGACTGTTATAGTAGTCAGTCCTGTTAGACTTAGTCTATTCTTCGTTTTAAGAACTGGAATCTGACACTCACCCCGAATGCTGTATTTGTTTCCTTTACTCAGCCCCAGGGACTTCTCCAGCAGCGTCAGCTCCACTGCCACCACCGCCACCGCCACCGCCTGAGCTCCTGGCTGAGAGGAATGCTTTTCTTATTCAGTAATTTTTACTACTTGTTTAGATGGAATGATAACTTTGGATTTTTTATTTTTCTAACCAGATTCCATTGGCCGTGACATCCCCAAAATGCTTGAATTATTTAAAACTGGACATGAAATTAAGGTAGATGAAGAAAGGGAGAATTTTCTCAAGACAAAAATAGCAACAGTAAGTTACAGTGGAAATTATTCAATAACCCTCTTTTTTTGCTTAACTGATTCATTAATAATTTATAATATACCAGTCCTTTGAACTTGTTCTTATCAGTAGCATTAGAAGTGACACTAACTATGCACATAGATAATTTTTTATTGGTTGAACTCATAAATTTTAATGGTAATATAGAATTGCTTCTGAGTTATGTGTCACCCACTGACATTTATTTGTACTTTGCCTTATTCGATTATCTATTCTATGTATGATATTTTTACTATAATATTTAGGCTTATAGAAAGTAAGGTCTAGAGCTTATATATCACTTACAGAACACTGTATAATGCTGACCCCATAGTAGATATTTAATCCTACTCTAATGGATTGAGGAATTTGCTTTATTTTTATGAATTATTTTTGGTTATCCCTGGGTTTTAAAAACTGCCTATGTACAGAAGATGCTGGAAATCAATTTCCAAACTATATAGATAGATATGTCAGATTTTTATAGTACTGTGTTTTTAAATATATAGTTATTTGCTAATATTTTTTTATACAAAAGAATCTCTAAAATATCTATTTAATGTATGTAATCTTTTTCCTGTACAATAACTATAGGAATAATGGCAATATTGATAGCAAAATTTAAACTGCCTACCAAATACCAGGCCCTATTCTAAACAATTTTCATATATTCTGTCTTTTAATCTTAACCCAATGAGAGGTAGATTATCATCCCCATTTTATAGATGAGGGCATAGAAGCCCAGAGAGGTCAAATACTTTTCTCAAGGTCCCATAGCTAGTATGAGGCAGAAGAGGTATTTGAACCTTGGCAGTCTCCTCAAGAATACAGGCTCTTTACCCTTAGATCATCCCACCTCATGGCTGGAATTATTTGAATAGCTCTTATTCTTCTTTCCATCCTACTTTTAAGAGGAATTCTTCATTCAACAGATTAGTAGTCCAAACTGATTGAGCTATGTCCATTGTAGATCATCAGAAATATAGAAAAGGTGCTCAGCTAGTTTTATGGAAGGAAAACTTCCTTTAGAAAGGGGGCAAAACAAGTTAAATCAGTCAGAGATTGGGAAGCCTCTCATTGCCATCATTACTGTCAAAGTTCAGCTCCAGTTCGAGCTCTGCTGCAATCTAATGTTGGAATGTCCTTGTTCCTAAAAGGCCCTTGGCAGTGCTTCCTGTTTCTTAGGGATGACAACATTGTAATATAAAAAGCAAACAAACAAGAAAAAAGCAAATACAAATTTTAAGAGAATATTCTGGAGCTGTATTCATGGATTTGAATACCAGTTCTGCTACTTATGGAATGGCAAACTTTACACAAGTTTTTTAATGCTGTTGTCTCTCAAATTTCCTCATCAATAAAATTTATATAGTAATATCTGTTTCACAATGTGGTTTTAAAGATTAAAAAATATTTTAAATGGTAGCAGCTATTGTTGTTACTGTTTCGGTTAGAGTTTTTAAGTCTGTTAAATATCTTTATGACTCTTTCTTTCTAGCTGGATCTTTTATTTTTCTGTAGTAGTGTTTTCAGTATATTCAGTTAGTAGTTTATATAGATCCTGACTCAGAGTATACAAAATCATGTCATCTTATTCATTCTTTTCAACAAATACTGTAGTGATTAAGACGTGGGCTCCAGATCAGACTACTTGGAGTTTTATTAGAGATATGCTTTTTCTTAATGAAAAATAAATTAATCTTTTGGAATACTGCTTAAATATTATAGTATAATAATGGATTTTAGATTAATACTGTCTGGTTCAAATTCTGGTTCCGGATTACAACTGCGCCACCTTGCTCTCTGAGCCTCAGTTTTCCCCCATGTTCCCTATATGTAAAATGAAGTTAATAATGATACATACTTTCTTAAAGCTAGGAAGTGGTAGATAAGATGACATAATAACTATTAAACAGACATCTACTTTTGGTTGAAATGGAGTAACAGGGACCTGATTTACCCTCCCACCTAAAGCAATCAGCATTACCTTGATATCAAAACCAGACAAAGAAAATAACAATCCAATATCATTCATGAACATAGATGTTAAAATTATAAACTGAATTTTAGCAAATAGAATACAGTAATATATAAAAAGGATAGCATCATGACCAAGTAGGGTTTATCCTAGGAATGCAAAGTTACTTTCACATTTAACAGCCAATCATTATAATTTACCATATTAACAAACTAAATCAAAAGCCATATGATCATATCAGTAGATACAGAGAATGCAATTGACAGAATCCAGCATTCATTTCTAATTAAAAAGTTTCAGCACACTAGGGATAGAAGTTGATGTCCTCAACCTGATAACAGGCATCTAAGAAAAACCAACAGCTGACATCACACTTAGTGATGAAAAACTGAATGCTTTCCTTCTAAGATCAAGAACAAGTTAAGGATATCCACTCTCACCACTTCTGTTCATCATTGATCTAGGGATTCTATGTAGTATAATAAGACAAAAAAAAAGGCATCCTGATTAAAAAGGAAGAAATAAAACTATCACTATTCACTGGTGACATGATCTAGCTACTAGAAAAGAAAGAGTTAAGTAAGGTTGTAGGATACAAGATCAATATATAAAAATCAATTTTGCTTCTACATAACATCCACAATTAGAAATTTAAAAATTCTAATTAAATTTATTGGGGCGACATTGGTTAATAAAATATATAGGTTTCAAGTGTATAATTTAATAATACGTCATATATGTATTGTATTGTGTATTCACCATCCAAAGTTAAATTTCCTTCCATCACCATATATTTGACCCCCTTTACCTTTATCTACCTCCTCGCTTCCCTTTGGTAGCCGCTAAACTGTTGTCCATGTCCATGAGTCTGTTTGTCATGTTCGCTTGTTGCTTTCAGTTTTATATCTCACATACGAGTGAAATCACTTGGCTCTTAACTTTTTCTGACTCTTATTTCACTTAGCATAATTATCTCAAGATCTGTCCATGTTCCTGCAAATGGCAGTATTTCATCTTTTCTTATGGCTAACTAATATTCCATTGTACATATGTATGACATCTTTATCCAGTCATCTATTGAAGGGCACTTTGATTGTTTTCATGTCTTGGCCATCGTGAATATTGCTGCAATGAGCATTGGGGTGCATATATCTTTACAGATAAATGTTTTAAAAATTTTTGGGTCGATATCAAAAAGAGAGATTGCTGGGTTATATGGTAATTCTATTCTTAGTTTTTTGAAGAACCTCCATACTATTTTCCATAGTGGCTGTAGCAATTTACATTCCCACCAACAGCGTGTGAGGGTTCCTTTTTCCCCACAACTCTCCAACACTTTTTATTACTTGTCCTGTTGATGATAGTCTTTCTAACAGGTGTGAGATGGTATCTCATTGTAGTTTTGATTTGCATTTCCCCAGCAGCTAGTGCAGTTGAGCATCTTTTCATATGTCTGTTGGCTGTTTGTATGTCTTTTTGGGAGAAGTATCTGTTCAGGTCCTCTGCCCATTTTTAATTGGATTGTTTGTTTTTTTATTGTTGAGTTGCATGAGTTCTTTGTATATTTTAGATATTAGCCCCTTATCAGAGGTGTTGTTTGCAAATATTTTCTCCCATTTGGTTCATTGCCTCTTTGTCTTATTGATAGTTTCTTTTGTAGAAATTAAAATTTAAAAGTGAGTGCTATTTGTAGTAATATTGGAAAATATGAAATATTTAGGAATAATTCTAACAAAAGATGTGAAAGATCTATACACTGAAAACTTCAAAACATAGTTGGGAGAAACAAAGATCTATACAATTGATGAAATGTAACATATTAATGGATCAATAATCCCAATATTGTTAAGATGTCAGTTGTCCCCAAAGTAATGTATAAACTCATTATAGTCTCAATCAAAATCCCATTAGCTTTTTTGTAGTAATTGACAAGTTGATTTAAAATTCATATGGAAATACAAAGGATCTAGAATAGCCAAAACAACTTTGACAGAGAACAAAGTTGGAAGTATACCTGATTTCAGTAATTAAGACAGTGTGGTATTGATGTCAAAAGAGACAAAATGATCAATGGGATGGAATAGCAAGTCCAACAGTAACAAAGACAAAACATATGATAACTGATTTAAAACAATGTGGAAAAGCATTTTTAATGGAGAAGTGATAGTCTTTTCAACAAATAGTACTGGAACAATTAGATATCTACATGTAATAAAAGGAACCTTGACCTATACTTCTCACCATATATAATTAACTCAAAATATATCAAAGACCTAAATGTAAAGGCTAAAATTATAATACTTCTGGAAGAAAAACTTGTTAGGGAATGATTTCTTAAATATGACACCAAAAACATGATCCACAAAAGAACAAATAGATAAATTGCACTTTATAAAATTAAAAAGCTTTTGTTCTTTAAAAGATACGTGTGAAAAGAATGAAAAGATAAATCACAGACTGGGATAAAATATTTGCAAATCATATATCTAATAAATCCACAATATATAAAGAACTCTCAAAACTCAATAATACAACAACCCAGTTTTAAAAATCAGCAAAAGATTTGACTACACCTCACCAAGGTGTGACAAACACATGGGAAACAGACGACAAACACATTGAAAGATGCTCAACATTATTAGTTGTTAAGTAAATACAAATTAAAATCACAATGAGATATTACTACATATCCATTGGAATGACTAAAATTAATAAGACTGACCATACTAACTGTTGGTGAGGATGTGGAGGGACCAGAATGCTTATACGTTACTATGGGAATATAAAATGATACAACCTCTTTGGCAAACAGTTTGTCAGTTTAAGAAGTTTAAAATCTACTTATATGATCCTATCATTTCACTTTTAGATATTTGCCCAGGAGAAATGAAAACATGTCTTCATAAGACTTGTAAACAAATGCTTATATTAGTTTTATTATTAATAGCCAAAAACTGGAAACATTCCACATGTCCAGTAACAGGCGAATGTATAAACAAACTTTGTTATATCT